CACCCTGTGATTTAAAACAACAACAACAAAAATCGCTGCGAGAGAAGCAAGGAGCCAAGAGCCAGGCCCAGCACCTGGTGAGGTCGTGGCGGGTGTGGCTGCCAGGTCCTACCTGAGGCTCACTGGGTGTTTCTGGTGGCCAAGCTCTAAAGATGCTCGTCTTTGGAGAACTAGAAACTCGCAGCTTAGTATTTCCAGTTCTATAAGCCCCACTGTGACATGGGATATTTGATTTACTAAAACATCATTGTTTATTAATACCATATATGATTTAGCCTTTAGATAAGAAAGTATGTGTTAATAGCCATCATCTCCAATAAGGATGAGCCATTCATTGGAGTGGGCCAACTGAAGGCCACAGTCCGTAGTCCAGGAACTGATGCGAGAGAAGCCCTTTCCAGGCAACGTCACTCAACCTGATGAGGTACCAGGAAGAACCGATCTCCCGATACCCGGGAAAGGAAAAGTGACAGCAGGTGCTGTGGCTGGCTGCTTCCATCCGACCTGTAGCCAGATGGTGACGGTCCATCTGTCCTCCTAGTCCTTCTTCCCTATAGTTCTGTAGAGATACTAGCTAGGTCTAGGGTTGTTATCCTCAGTCCCATTTTTAATGACAACAGTTGCTCACCGAGAAGAATGTTTGCTCTATAACGGGAGGTCCATAGACACCACAGACACACGAGGAAGGGTTTTCAATCCTCAAGTGACAGAAATATCCTTGATGGGTGAGTTCCCAGAAATCACTGTTCCTCAGGAAAATCTTGCAATAAATAGACCTTTTTAACCCTGACTGGTTTGGCTCAGCGGTTAAAGCATCAGCCCGTGGACCAGAGAGTCCCGGGTTTGGTTCCCACTAAGGACACGTACCTTGGTTGCAGTTTGTCCCCGACCCTGGTTGGGGTCATGTGGGTGGCAATCAGTTGATGTGTCTCTCTCACATCAATGTTTCTCTCTCTCTCTCTCTTCCTCCCTATCTCCCTCCTGCTCTATTTGAAGATAAACGCAAAAATGTCCTCAGGTGAGGATAAATAAATAAACAAACAAACCTTTTTAATAGTGTCTATCACCATGCACTTCAAATTTTGGGGGCCACAATATTGAACTATTGAATGAAATATATTGAAACAGCCAGGATGCATCAGCTTAGAAGACATGACCTTCGCAGAATAGCTAACAGCACCTGCCTGAGAGATGGATCGCAACCTTTGCCCTCACGCACGGTTGTGATGAGATGGCATGGTTGGTGTAAAAGTGCCCAGCACTGTGCCCAGGATATAAAAGCCGCTCAATGAGAAGTGTTCGATGAGCCAGAAGGCGAAGACGCGTCCACGTGGGGAAACGGGGGCAATGAGGGTCATTCTTGGTACATGTCAGGAATGCCCAAGGAAGAGACGCCCCAGCCAGCCCGCCCACGTCTCCTGTGTGTCCACGGGCAGGGTGGGTGCACTGATGGAAGACATGGGAGGAAGCAGAGGAAAAGCTCCGCCTCCTCACAGTGGAGCTGGTACAGTTCTACCCTCCAGCCTGTCCCCCTCCTGCCTCTGACTTGGTCCTCTCTTCCTCTCCCCGCCCACTCCAAAGGACAAAAGCATGCACGAGGCACCATGATGGCTATCAACAGAAACACAATGGAACAGAGGAGAGAAAGACTGCACAGTGCTGTTCCTTTGACAGGCCCTGCCCGGCCCAGGCTGTCCACAGCCTTAAGGCAAAGCAAGGCCCCCACCTAGTGGGGAAGCAGAGGGGCGGACATTGCAAGTGTGACCTTCGAAACCTTCCTCCACCCTCCATATTAAATGTGGCTGCTGTTCTAGAGCTATAGGCCAACTAAATCATGCTTGACAATCATATTGGTTCCTGGCTACTTCATTCATTCATTTAGCCCAGTAATAGATATTAATAACATTCTATTCCCTACCGCCATGTGAACAATCACAGACATTTGTAATGCTCCCGCTTCTGCTGGGCCGCAAGTGCTAATGAATCAGCAAAACTAAGTGGGGAAAAAGGTAATTTTTTCTTCTTTACTAATAATAATGGAAAATATGTAGAATTAATCATTCTGGGGGGGAAAAAAGCCTTTTCTCTTTTGGGCAATACATTTTTTAATCCATATAATTAAAATAAATAGTACATCTTAAACTACAACTCAACTGCTATATACCAAGTGATTTTTTATAAAAAAAAAAATAATCGCTGCACTAAAGACTACAAAGACTCTTAACGTTGTGGTTTAACTCGGGAAATAGCTCAAGGAATAGGAAAATAGCATCTGACCATCCCAGACACAGTCCAGAAGTCCGAGCGAACGTCTGGAAGTATAGTCTACGCTTTCATGTCACTACTCAGAGAAGTTAGGAGAAGAAAGACTGGTCTACAAAAATATGACCAGGGAACAACAATGTAAGAGGTCTTTCGCCCAATTACAACTATGCTTCCATTTGAAATGAAATTGAATGTAATGTTTCTGCATTTCTGTACAGCAGAGACTGCATAAGGAAAGAAGAGAGAAGAGAGAAGGGAGAAAAGGAGAAGAAGAAAGTGGAGGGGAGGAAAAAACCAGCGCTGAGAAAATGCAGAGAGGAAAAGGAGTCAGCAAATGAGACTGAAAAGGAGCAGCCAGTGAGAATGAGAAAAACAAGAAGCTGGTGTTCTGGGAACCAAGTGAAGAATATTAAGGAAGAGAGTGTCGTAAGATAAAGGCCTGAGAAATGACCGATGTATTTGTTGTTTGACATTGATTTTGCAACGTGGAGCTCATCAAGAACCCTGATGAGGGTTTTTGTGGAGTGGTGGGAATGGAAACTCTTTGGAGAAATTTTGCTACAATGAACAAAGCAAAGAAATAGCAATTGGTTGGAAATGTGAAGTCAAGAAAAGAATGTGCTTTAAATTTGGGGAAAATAGCAACAGGTTTGTTTGCTGGTGGGAATTATTGAACAGAAAGCAAATACATGGTAAGAGTAGAGGGGAGGAATTTCTGGAGCAGTTTTTGTGATCCTGGGCACAGCAGAGGCGCTGGCTTGAGGTGGGAACATGATGTATCAATGTCAGGCAGAATCAACTGGCTACCTACCATGAAAAGATGATAGAATCACACACTTCTTCCCTCACCTGTCTTCTCCTCTCCCTCCTTCCGTTTCCCAATGTGATGTACACTTTACATAATTATCCTATAAATGTAATTAAATCTTTTGTGAGCTGTTTGTAGATTGAAAAACATAATTACATGAACTCCCTTGTAAATTGAGCAATTAGATCCATGAAAGAAACAAAATCCTCCTCGTTTTCCAAATGAGAACTTCGCACGTGTCCCATTGTAAAAAAGCTCTCAATTTCTCCCTGGTTCTTTATTCCTTCATGAGGGTACACACACCCAGCTGCCAATGTCGTTTCCCAGGTTGTAACCTTTCTCGAACATTGTAACCTAGAGTAAAAGCCAGTAATTTTTTCATAAAGGATATACGTGGGTGGTAATCGTTGGAGTTCTTGCATTTTTTAAATGCCTTCATTTTGGTCTCACTTTCTATTTCTGGTTACAAAGTTCTAAGTTCAAAAGCTTTCCCCTCTGATCTTTGAGACGTCACTGCATGCCACTTCGGTACCAGCTATTATTTCTCAGAGGTCTGCGAAACTCATTCCTGCTGGGGAGTTTCCTTTGACCCCACTTCGCCAGGGCTGCTCATTGCTCCGCCCCTCTTCGCAACAAAACGTGGCCTTTTTCTAGACCTGGTGTTTCATCCCCTCCTGCCCCCTACTCTCACCCTTCTCTAGTTTATATTTAGGTGTGGTCGGGCGGGAGAGAAAGGAAGTTTTCCCACACATCCAGACCATCTTGCAGCACTCGTTTACATTAGGAATAAGGAGTCAAAATATTAATTCCTGAAAGACTGTGATAAAGTATTCACATATTAATATTTTGATGTTTCCATTTACCCAATTATTTTGCAGACACAGCCAAAGGGTATTTCACCTAGAAAAACACATACGGGGTGTGTGTGTGTGTGTGTGTGTGTGTGTGTGTGATTATTCTATTGCTCACTGACTACAACTACCTTAATTCACTACTCACCGCTCAGCTGCTAATACTGGTCCAGTTGGTAAAAGAATGAAACTACAAGGATGACTTGCTCTTTATCCTAAGTCACATTTTAGTTCTTGTGTCCTCCAATACACTCTTATTTTAATAATACAATTTAGCCATCCCAATCACTAATTTTTATTTTCTTGGGAGAATCAAGCTTTTCATTGACATTATACTGTTAAAATTTGCTTAATGACAGCTTTTATAGGTGGAAAGTCATCCTGAAAAAAGTTTTATTTCAATAACTAGAGCAGTAATAGAAAGATAGCATGTTGACAAAATGTAGGCTAGACTAAGAGATCACTGGGTCTTCTGGTCTGATAGGATGGTCCCTGCCAGGCAGTCGATTCGAACAGGCGGAGGCAGGGAGAGGAAGCAGGAACACAAGCATGCTTTCATCCTTGCTCTGTGCTCCAACACATGGTCTAAGGGTCCGTTACGATTTTCCAGTTTTACTTAGGCCAGTCTTTACCAGACTTTCACTTTTGCACACTTGGATATAGCGAAGGGTACTCAGTGAAAATGGTTCCACAGTCCAGTAAATTTGGTAAACAATACTTGGTATCTTGACTAGAGTCAAACTAGAGATTAGCATATTGGAAGCTCAAAGCAGCCCACCCACTAAAACAGTATTCCTATTCAGGAACCCCAATTTCCAACGTGTGTTGCAGGGGTTGGGGGTGTCCTGCAAGTGAACTCACTTCTGCCATGATCCACTCAGAGATGACAGCAGCCCCACGGCCTAGATGCCAACTGCAAGCCTAAGTGTCCCCTGTGTTCTGACCAAGTGGCAACACTGGAGGTTCCCGTGATCACCTCCTCAGAGCCAAAAGGGGGGGGGGGGGCTCAAATAAATGTTCAAAATGGGAAAGACAAGGGAGATAATCAGGCCCTGGTGAAAAAAGAAACAGATGCTAATAATATAAAAATAATCCTTAAGGTTAACCCCGATTTAAACATGGCCTCCCCCATTTGTTTTGATAGGCTACAGATCATCTTCAGATCAAATTCACAGTACGGCTATTATTATCAAACAAATCAAACTTAATTTCCAGAAAATTAAGGTACATAAATATAATAAATCTACTCAATTTTCAAAATAAAGATGATCATTAACAAATATAGCTTTATGCAAAGACTCTTCTTTTTCCCAACCAAACCTAACAGAGAAAGAATCGTAGCAAAAACACTTGCTCCTAGCAAGCAAATACACCAAACAAAATCTTCAAGCTACAGAATCTGTGAGGGAAGGAGGATGAAAGAAAGCAAAATAACTTCTGGAATATGGTCTATGATCAGCATAAGCAGCCTCATTGCTTATTCTAATAAGCATACCTCCAGAATTTCAGGATAAACTTAAATAAATGACAACAGAGAATATCATATTGTAAGTATTATATTTCTCTCACACACAACGTTGTATGAGACATTTACTACTTTTAATATGTATCCATAGGATTAATACTCATATGGAGTATAACATGGGAAAGTGCAGAACTAAAGAAGTCTATCTGACAACAAAAGCACACATTTCTTAGGATTTGAAAATATTGCACATAATAAGGTTGCGCAGAAATTACTGTTTTTACAAACAGAATGAGGTATTAGTCAATTTCTAGATAAAGATGAGTGCAAAGAAGAGGAACCACACACACACAAAATACATAAATCTATTGTAAGACACAGAGAGCCAACAATTAAGGAAATTTGGAAAGATATCTAAAGTAGCTATGATTCCAACATTATAAAATAATTAGCCAGGGGCCAAATATGTAACAATCTCTTGGCAATATTTCGTAAGTTTTCAACTTTCTTTCAGCATAAATGACTAGGAGCAATACATTCACTTCCTTGACTCCACTCTGACGACAGAAAGGCAGGGCTGTGGTAAATGTTAACCATGCGTTTCTGAAGCTTCCAGTGGAAACTGAACAAGGTACTGCTACCCTTTGCTGAACGACTCGCTGTCCAGTTCCACATACACTTAGCAACCCAAGTCAGCGATGCTAGAGAACATGCAATTTTAAGTTAGCAAAGGTTTCACTGCAAAAATCATTCAAGTTCATACAATTTAATCTAAAATAAATTTAAAAGTTTAACCTTTAAATATGTATCAGGCAAACTCATTCTTTTCTTGGTAATAAAACTGGCCACATCAATAAGCCCAAGGGCAGGTGGAGAACAATGACCAGGCAGAATTAGATCTTTTTTTTTCTTTCTTTTCGAGACCCTTTCCTAATCAGAAAAATTAATAATTAGCTATTTCTCTACTACCTGAATGTTGCTTAATTTGTCAAAAACAATTTAAATATATTTAACAGCTATATCAAGTTAAGTGAAATCATGCACTTGTCAAAATAGTTCACAAACTGTTTTACATCATAGATAGTGAAGAACAGTTAACTAGTTGGGTTTCGTGAGAACAGAAAAAGAATGAACTATTGTCCTGAACAGTCAGTGTATGTAGTGACCATATTTCCTCTGCGTTGAGTGACAGTCCTGCAGTGCTTGCTAGATCCATGGAATCTATTTTCAGTCTGTACTGTGTGCCGACCAGTGGTGTCAAAACCACTAAAAGAAAACATCTTCTCCATATCTTCAAACATGTCATCAAACAGTCCGCCTCCAAAAGAAAACTCCTGGAAATGATGCCTTTGTCTACTAGAACCATCCTGGCTTGTCTGGAAGTGATTTTCAAAATGTTTCTTGGACCGAGTGTTTTGGTTTTGACCAAAAAAACCAAAGTCTTTGAATAAGTCATCAAAATTGAAGTTAAATGACTCCTCGAAAGAACTTCCACTACCTCTCTGTCCTTTAGTGAAAGCACTGTGTCCCAGTGTATCATACTCTTTTCGCCTATTAGCATCTGAGAGTGTTTCATAGGCTGAAAGAAATAAAAATACTTCAGTAACAGAAGGTAATCAAGATTACACATATCCAAACCTCTTCAAATAAGTAAAGTCAACTCTATTTTAGAGGACTTTGCATTACAAGTAAAACCAAAACACACAAAAATAAGAACAGAGTTAAAATGAAAGTTGTGAAAGACAGAGAAAGACTTTGTCTCCTTCGATGCATACTATCAGCAGTTAGCACAATGCAAGCCCCTAGTAAATGCCCAACGTTTGTTAAATGAATGCTACCATTTACTACAAATGCATGGGGGCAACAATTACAGAGCTATTCTTCATATTATTGATGTAAAATCATTACTTGTATTAAATAATTTGATGGTCAAACATAACAAATTAAGAAGTTAGATTTTTCACTTCTTGCTAGTTGAAGTAAATATTAACTCCAACCCCCTACCCAGTTAACTCCATCCATCATTAATTACTGAATGTTCAGGAGAAGCAATTTACTTTAGAACTAGTCTCTAAAGTCAAAATCTGTTTCATACGATTCCTTTAAAGACAAAGAAAGTACACTATGCTTCATAAGTTAGCTTATGAGTTTTGGGTACCAAAAATTCCTTTTGACATAGAAATAATAAGCAATTTTACAAATAATAAAATTCTCAACATTTTTAGATCTGTATGCCAATAAAAAACTATACCACCATTCGTTCATCCATCCATTCAGGAATCAAAGTTATCTGTTATAAGAAAACAGTTTGAAGAATTTCACTATATTTAAATGTAGATCCACTCCCCCTCTCATCTCCACAGTCTTCACATGCACATACACTTCTTAGCTATCATTAGTTAATGGCTGTGAGATTTCAGAGGTACGAGTAGTTACTGACTTACCTTCTGCAATCTCTCGGAATTTTGCTTCCGCATCAGGGCTCTTATTTTTGTCAGGATGATACTTCATGGCCAATTTGTGAAAGGCTTTCTTGATTTGGCGCTCTGATGCTGATTTTGGCAAACCTAAGATATCATAGTAACTTTTTGAAGCCAAAATTAATTCTGTTATCATTAAAATGCAGATTGCAAAGATGAAAACGGACTGGGGAGTAGCCATTTCTAATATCCTAAAAGAGAAAAGAAAAAAAATTTTACCCACGGAGCTAATCTTAAGACTTTTTCTTTCAAGCGAAACCCCATGAACTTTTAGGGTACAAGGTATACTGTTACCTGTCCCCATTTTATTTCACGTATATAGGCTTTACAACCCCTAAACCGGTTGTAACCTTCTCAAGAGCACATATAATTCAACCAAATTGACAAAAAATTTTGCCTCTGCCTTTCCACTAACAGTGGCCATACACAGAGCACACACAAAAATGCTCAATAACTGATTTTTTTGTTGTTTTTAATCCTCACCTGAGGATATTTTTCCACTAATATTTTTAGATAGAGTGGGGGGGGGAGACAATGTGCAAGAGACACATCAATTGGTTGCCTCCTGCATGATCCTGGGGCCAGGGATCGAATTTGCAACCCAGGTACGTGCCCTTGACCAGGAATCAAACCCACAACTCCGCTCTAACCACTGAGCAACCAGCCAAAGCAATAACTGACTTTTAATTGATTTTTAGAGAAAGGAAGGGAGATATATGGATTGAGAAACTGACTGGCTGCCTCCTGCAGGCTCTCTACCAGGAACAGAACCGGCACCACTTTTGATGCACAGGAGATGCCCAACTGAGCCACACCCGCCAGGGCTCAATAGCTGACTTCTACCAGTTAATACTGAAGACTCGTCCTAGGCACACATGGTAAAAAAGGATGGAAAATCCAAATATTTTAAAGGCTCTCAATCTTCAAGAATTCATGTTCTAAGGGAGTTAGAACAGTTTAACTTCACATAAAAATTTTGAAACGCGCAGCACCAAGGTGGAGGGCTGTCCGTCCCTCTGAACCCTCACTGAGAACGCCCCACCTTCAGCGTCCGTTTCAGCGAGGTACCCCAAGGGCGGTGGGCGCTGGGTCTCAGTATCACAACATCACGGCCTGCAAGACCCTAAGACGTCTCCGGAGCAGGGGAAACGGGGCCTGCTAACACCCGGGGCGCACAACTCCAGGTCCCTGCGGAGGCTGCTCTGAACGTCCCCTGGCCCCCGAAACCGTCCTCTGGCCTCGGAGGCGGTGCGCCTTCGCCTTCTCGCCGGCAGATTCCCGGCGCGGGCTGGGAAGACGAGGGCCGGTGCTCTGAACACCGGCCTCAGGAGCCCTCGACACCCTATGAGGACACAGGCTGACGAAAGGGGCCCGGCCTGGTGGAAACGCCTGCCTTCCCCTCCCGGGGCATATTCCGCGCGTCATTAGCAGGTGGATGACTTCTTTCCACACTTAGTCACGGGCACCAGGGGTCAAGTACCAGCACACCCGCCGGGCGTTCCCGGTCCCGGGCGGTGGCAGCCTGGCCCGAGGCACCTGTCTGGCGGGGTAAACGCTCCTCCCCAGCTCGGGCCGCGTCCGGCGCCGGCTCAGGACACGGGCCTGTGCAGCGCACGCCGGGCACTCACTTCTCACCCCCGGAGAGGCCCCGCCGGACCGGGCCCGACCCCCCCACCGGGCCCCCCCCCCACGCCCCGTCCGTGCGGCGCCGCCGTCGGGGCTGAGCGCGGCCCGGGCCCCCAAGGGACGAGCTGTCGGGCGCCCCCAACGCGACACGCACTACTCAGTGGCTCGCCGTCTTCCCCCTGCAACCTGCCTCAGGAACACCAGGCAGCCCCAAGCCCTTGCGGCCACCGCGGGGGACAACGGGGCCAAGTCAGCCCACAAAGGCCGACCGAGGCCCGCGACCCCCCGGCTGCTGCCACGACCGGCGCCGCACAACGGCTCAGGCCCGGCCCCTGACCCCAGCCTCCGCGGCTTCCAGAAGCCGGCGCGCGTCCCGCTGCCGCAGGTACACCGACCTCGCCCTCCTCCTTCCACCAGCACCGCCGCGTCCCCTCTCAGCCGGCTCCCTACTGGCGGGCAACGGCTGCTGGCGTCTCCACCTCCGGAGAAGACCTACACGAAACGCTTCCCTATTGGCTCTCACTGCCCCACGTGACCCTGACGCCCTACGCGCACGTGGAAAACTGTTGTTGCCGTTAAGCCTATGCGTCACTTCCGGCCTCACCACCCTAAAGGGCGGTGCTGAAGCTCGCAGAAGCGGAAGTGACTCGACGGTGGCGGCGTCTTCCTGGATCCCTTTCCGGCGCAGGCGCAGTGGCGCGGGCGGCCTAGACGTGCGGCCCCGCCCCTGCGAGGAGTGCCCACCGGTGCCCGTTGTCGGCCTGGGTCTCCCGGGGCCTCGCCGGAGCGATGCCTCGCTATTGCGCCGCAATTTGCTGTAAGAACCGCCGGGGACGGAACAGTAAAGACCGGAAGCTGAGCTTTTACCCGTGAGTTGTCCCTGGAGCCGAAGCGTCAGCTTTGCTTTTGGGCCGCGGTGTTAGGGCGTTCAGGGCCGGGGTTCGGGGTGTCTCCGGGCGCTGTGTGCCCCCGTGGCAGCGGGGTGTGAACGCTCGAGGTCGCCTACCGAGGGGTGCCCTCCCGGAGCCAGGGCGCCGGCCCGCTGGCGAGGGCCGGGCCTCTGGGGTGCTGACAGCGCCCTGGGGTCCAGAGCGGCTCCGCACCCACCCGACCCACGGCGTGGACGTCACACCTGCCAGACGGGAGGGGCGCTCAGGCTCGGTGCTGCCTTTAGCCAGACCTGCGTGGCCCGCTAGGAAGAGGTTCTCTAACATTCTGCCGTTCGTTTAACTTTGCCTCTTACAACGCTGCAGCTGCGCGAGCTGCTCCCGGCCAAGGTCATTGTCAGTGCGCGTCAGGAGCCCGCCTGCCCCCTCTTCTGTGTCGCTGGTGTCCTGGTGTAAACTGTCCGAGTCTCCCCGCGTGGAGGGACATGCTTGTTCTTGTGTCAGCTTCTCTTTCGGGGCCTAAATTCTGGTTTCCAGCTCTTTGGGTATGAAGTCTAGAAATGTTGGACGACATTACAATTGAGTAGAATTGAGGGTGATTCTTGTAAAGAGAATGGAATATTAATATTTTATAAAACTTAGTGTTCATTTTATTGTCAGCTAAATCATTTGTCTGAATTAACTTCTCGTTTTAAAAATGCTAATGTACCTTGGCTGGTTTGCTCCGCGGTGGGAGCATGGGCCTGTGGACCAGAGAGTCCCGGGTTCGGTCCCCGGTTTGGTTCCCACTAGGGGTACATAACAAAAAATGATAACAATAATAATAAAATAAATAAATACAAATAAAAATACTAATGTAAATAAGAGCCTAAAGCTTAAAACTTTTTAAAATTATAGACAAGAGATTGTTTCATTTGTAGTACTAGTATGCAGTACATTTGAATAGGAGTTTGTAGTTTATACAAATCTCTTTCCTATTTCTAGGGAAGCTACACAACAAAGTAAAAATAGAACATAATCCACAGAAAATACGAATAGGTTTTATTTTTTGTTGGAATACATATATTTACCTGAAGGGACTCTGAGTTACGTTTTACCAGCCGTTCTGCTCAAAGCTTTGGCGACGCATCTTCCATCTTAGTCCCCCTTACTGTGGAATTGATGTGGTAAAGTTGTCACGAAGGTGCTCTTACGTGTAGGGATGGGTGTGCTGCTTTTGCAGCTCTTGATGCATAGAGTACCTGTATGCGCAGGCCTGGAATCTGGCAGAATTGTAAAAATACAGTAAAGTTTTCCTGTTCTAATTTCAGGTTTCCTCTACATGACAAAGAAAGACTTGAAAAATGGTTGAAGAATATGAAACGAGATTCATGGATGCCCAGTAAATACCAGTTCCTGTGCAGTGACCATTTTACACCTGACTCTCTTGACATCAGATGGGGAATTCGATATTTGAAACAAACCGCAGTTCCAACAATATTTTCTTTGCCTGAGGACAATCAGGTATTGGAGGCAGGGGGAGGGGAGAGGGAGGTAAAGCTGAGCAGGTAGATGGCAGGGTGGGAGGTGTTTAGGTGGAGGGGTGAGAGGGGAAGATAGGTGCTAGGAAAACAGATACTGGAGAAAAAGGAAAGCTAGTTTATGCTTTTACTAAAAGCGTGCTAATTTTTTAAAACTAAACCATTGTGAAGCATAGTTTAAGAGGAGCAAAAAAAAAAATAACATACATCAGTCATTAAGTTATCATCATAAGTTAATGATCTAAGATTTTATACTGGTATTTTGAATGATCTGAAATGTTTCCATCATGTATTGACGATGCTTAATGCTTTCCGAAAAATACTTTGAAGTCTGTTTGAGTTATTGTATAGTTAGAACATTTTTTTAACTGAATAAATTTGCTTGGCTAATATACCGCTGAAAGTTCTAATTAAGGTTTCAGCGCTGAGTAATAAGAGAATAAGCCTAAAAAGGACATCTTTTTTAGTATTTGAAAATATTATTTTCTAGGAAAACGACCCTTCCAAAAAAAACTGTCAGAAGAAAAAAACAGATGATGAGAAAGAGGTGTGCCTGAAAGCCAAGTCACAAGAATCATTTGCATCAAGAGAGCCAAAGAAAAATATGGTTACTACAGATGTCCCTGAACACGCAGAATTTCTCCATTCATCTGCACTGGTGAAGCCACCAGCTCCAAAACCAGGAAGCATGCACAATAACATACTAACTCTTAATCTAGTTAAACATGATACTGGAAAAACAGAATCTACCTTGGAAACATCAATTAACCAAGACATGGGTGGTTTTCACACATCTTTTGAGAATCTAAATTCTACAACTATTACGTTGGTGACTTCAAATTCAGAAGGCTTTCCGCAGTCTTTGGAAACCCAGGAAGTTCTTGAAATAACTACCAATCATCTTGCTAATCCAAACATGACAAATAATTGCATGGAAGTTAAGTCAGCACAGGAAAATTCATTTGTACTCAGCACAATTACTCAAACAGTTGAAGAATTAAACACAAATAAAGAGTCTGTTATTGCCATTTTTGTACCCACAGAGAATTCCAAACCTACAATTAATTCTTTTATACCTACCCAAAAAGAAACCGTGGAAATGGAAGACATAGACATTGAAGACTCCTTGTATAAGGATGTAGACTATGAGACAGAAGTCTTACAAATTGAACATTCTTACTGTAGAAAGGATATAAATAAGGAGCATCTTTGGCAGAAAGTCTCTAAACTACATTCAAAGATAACTCTTCTTGAGCTACAAGAGCAACAGACTCTAGGGAGACTGAAGTCTTTGGAAGCTCTCATAAGGCAGCTAAAACAGGAGAACTGGTTATCTGAAGAAAATGTCAAGATTATAGAAAATCATTTCACAACGTACGAAGTTACTATGATATAAAGAGGCCTCAAAGCTTTGACTTCTGTGTAAACATTTTGCAGCCAAACCAAATTACATGTACAGTGAACATTTTCCTGCATAAACTCATCTTAATGAAGCTCAGAATGTGTTCTAATGTCATGAACAGTGTCCTCTTCTTGCAATGCTCATTTTTGAGAAAAACTAGAGTATTGCTGGGCTGTAGATAAAAAGTTTTATTTCTTGGTAATTTTCCAAATTATAGTTAAAATATAGTGAATAAGTAATATGATTTTGTCATAAAAGGAAAGAACAGATATGGTAAAAAGAGCCCAGAATAAAAGGCTCAGGAATAACCCTGGTTCAACCATTGGCATATGACTTAGACAAGTTACTGATCAAGACTGAACGTCAGTCTAGAGTCTGTAAAATAAGGGCACTTCCTACATCTCTAATGCAGTCTGTTCCTTTATAGTTCCTTCCCTTTCTAGTCAGATACTTCTAATAGAACAACTTTTCTGTAAGGTAATGTATGTTACATAATATTAGGTGTTGGCTGGAATTTGATCTTAACTATTGGGTTGTCCTCAATATTTATTGAATTCTATGTTATTTGACCTTTTGGCTAAAGTTATCCATAATGGCAAAGGAAAATACTCCTTTTATAATTTTATTCCAATTGAACTAAAATAAGGAAGCACCCATTAGCCCAGTTCTTAGGAGAGACCCTTTAAACTTAAAAGAAGACGTATTTTAGTACTTTATATGTGGCTGACCATCATAATACATAGTTATTTAAGCTTCTTAACATCCTATATTTAAGACTATAATTTATAAACCAAAAATTTTAATGAGGTTAATTTTTTAATATATAGCTATATTTTAGAAATCACAGTTTGTATCTATTTAATAACGTGTAGCTTTTTAAAATGTGTGCTTGTGTCATTTTTATATTCCAGAATGGTAGAGTAATACTTAATACTATACATTCCCACTTACGTATATTTTATTAAAATTTATATGCAAGAAATTAGAGATATGGCGCGATTACCTTCAGGAGAGAAGTGGGACAAAGAGGTGATGGGATGTAAATAGAAAATACTATATATATCCATATGAATTTAAAAATATATAAAAGCAAAAAGTAACAGAAATGTGAAAAATCAATGGTCTCTTAAAATTGACAGTGATATAATGAGATATATTACTATCAATCTGATTCTTAGTTTTCTTTTATATAAAAGATGCTATTATCTCAAGGGATGGGTTTGACAGATCCATAAGTTAACAATTACAGATTTAGTCCCGGAAAAGAAGAGGAGCTCAATATATATTGTTGACTGCACAGCAAATAGTATACTAACTGTTTTGTAAATGCACATATTTCACTTAGTTTTTTCAGGCTAATAAAACTAATTGATATAATATGAATATATGTTAGCTAGGTGATTAGAAGTGACCAAGGAGGGCATCTTAACATTTTACATAAATTGTTATAATTGGTAGAATTAATATGTAATTTTTAAGTATCCCCATGTTGCAATTTGCTAATACTTGTTTAAAATTAATATAGATGAATATGGCCTTTATAAGTCATTAAAAAATGTTACAACTCAGTTCTTAACTGTATACTTGTAATTTCTGTTTGTTTAAATCATTTAACTAGCTTTATTTCTTTAAACTTAATTATAAATATTAAAAAATTTTTCCTGGCTTGTCTATGTTCAGTTTTGGATGTTCTTAACCTGTTAATGTCTAAATATATTTGGGGGTTCTAGCCAAGTTTATTTTTTCCTTGATTATCATAGGATCCTCTTAGCTCATCAGTCCCCCCTTCCATACCATCCTGGACCCTGCTGTCAGCTCTCTGCCTGAACTAGAAATCTCTCACACACTTACCTTTCCTAGCTGGGACGCTGTAATTACTTTGATACCTAAAACCAGAGCCACGTTGCTACCATATTATATGTGACCTCGGGTGCTCTTCATCCTGTGCCCCAGCCACACTGGACTTCACGTTTCCCAGACACGCCGGGCGGGCAGCTGTCTCCTGCCCGCTTCTTTCATTGCCTCTGTTGAAGCAGTCTGTCAAAAGTATATCTGACTTAGGTGGAGTCCATTCCTTTTACCCCAGTCAGAATTGTTTTCTCTCTGCTTCTGCTGTAACAGCATTTACCTTGTTTTTTGTAAGGAGGCTTGTAGAATGCTGATTTTGGAAGTACATGTGTAAGAGCTAAGGTTCATTCCTACTCACCCTCAGGACTGACCTATTCATTATTTTATCTCGAAAGTGTTCTCTACCCCAGACATAAAACCTGTCACCCAGTATCATTGCTGCTTTACTTGTTTTCATGCCCCCAGTGTCACTTGACACACCCTCATAGTATAAGCCTTTTAGAAGCTCTTTGGCTCTACTGCCCAGCACAGTTCCCAGTGCAGAGTAGGAGCCCCACACATGTTTGTCAAGTGAATAACGTGCCACCTACCAAACCATACTTAAGGAATTATGTCGCTGGGTCTAATTCGGGTTCCACGTGGAAAGAGTCACCAGATAAACTAACCAGTTTGCAGCTCCCTGAGTGCATTATCTGCCCCATTACTCAGGCAGGCCCGGTTAAGTTACTAACTTGAATTATCAGGTAAATAATGCTAGCATGCTATAAACAGTACCTGGTAAAGGGAAAGTGCATTCCTTCTAGACCAGAGTTTTGTAACTAGGAATCTGGACTGTCGGAAGCTTCCAGGAGGGTCATGAGCTCAAAATTTAAAGCAAAATTTTGTGTGTACAGGTACTTTTCTGGAAAGAGAACCCATCATTTCTATTATATTCAGACCCCAACAAATTTAAACAGCTGCTCAGGGCAATGATACCTCACAGTTTGCATTGTGTCATTCTTTAGAGAATCTAAGCTTTTTACATATTTCTATTCTCCAAAAACCTTGGAACACAGATGGGAAAGCTACTCTCCTAGATTTAAAAACACAAAAATCCACCAATTCAGCTATGTAGTTTCAATTAATAGGGAACAGAACACTAAAACTAAAAGAAAAATTGGGCCATACCAAGAGTGGGGTGGGTAAATTCTGCAAAGAATTCTTACAAGTTTTACACTCGTGTTATTTCATATTTCCTGGAAGATAAGTTTAAATGTTCAAAGTACTATATAGTGTCAGAAGAGTAAATTCAGAGAGTAAATAGCATTTTTTATTGCAAAATTCTGTTTAAGATTACTGAAGTATATTTCAAAATGCAAAGCAATGAAGCAGGAACTCGTGTCAGAGGGAGCCTAATCTTTTATTTTTTTCTGTGCATGGTTCAGGTGTTCCAGTAATAAAAATGCATAGTGTTTGAATATGCAGAACAGGCTAAAATTTCATAAATGTGGAATGAGATTAATTTTATTGAGCTTGCAAACTTGCTTAGTCTGGTCGAAGATGAATTCATTGGCACGAGACCAGAAGCTGCACCATGGATAAAAAAGAGGTCAGTTCAGTAGTGTGCTGTTAAAATACGAGGGTCTTTGAAGGAGTGAAGAAGGAAGGGCAAAGGACAGCATTCAGATTTTTCAAACAATCTCCAGAAAGTCATGAAATAAGAAAGCGTTTATCTGCCCCTCCTTGGAACGTTGAGTAATATGTTAAAGAGACACTGGCTTTGCCTTGCTAAAAAATAGTGCTTTGGGCTGAAACGCCCTTCAGCACATCTGACTTTCAGTGCACAGGTGTGGTTTCATTCATTGGGGGGATGACAAAGGCACAGGGAGACCATGGAGAACACAGGAAGGGCTCTGAGCCAAGACTCAGGACGGAAAAGTCTGGCTTGCCTCACAAGCGCGTTCTGGGTATTGCCACAGAAATCCACCTTCAGAGAAAAGCACAGTAAAAAGCCTTTGAATGAGAAAAAAAGAGCCAGTCCAAGTCACAGTGAGGTTAGCTGCTCCTTCCTTGGCAATGGCAAAAGACTGAGGGTGGAGAGACCCCGCGATCAAGGGCAGAGGAGGAGCACGGGTTTTGACAAATGTTCGCCACGGGAGAAACTGCTGGCAAATCTAGATGAAGTGGTTCCACAAACCCCTGCTTTTCCTGTCTTCTGCTTTTGTTCATCTGGGCATAACTGAAATGAGAACCTCATGGGTACAGGGAGGCGAAGAACCAGTTCAAATGTCACCTTTTCTAAGTGGTCACACGCACACACACACCCAGTTGTTCACTCTGTCTTCACAATCTATTTATAGCATTATAACTAGAGCTTGGAAAAGCAGATGCAATTTGTTACTTTGGGGCCATCTAGTGTTAAGATAAAGAACATATTTGCCTTTTGTTCCTTTTTGTAAACTCTGTATTGAGAGTATTTTTTTTCTTTTTTTAAATCTTTATTGTTGAGAGGATTACAGATGTCCCCTCCCTGTTTTCCCCTCCCATTGCCCCCCTCCTCCTGGTCCCTATCCCACTCAAAGATGTTTTCAATGATACAAGTTAGAAGCTAGCAGTACAGTTAGAATACTTTTTAAATAGAAATTAAATAGAGGTAAGGTATTTAACCTGCTAATTACATACACAGTGAAGTGATTACTACAGTAGCTAATGAACATTAACTCCTCACAGTCGCCATTTCCTGTGTGCACCCGAAATCTCTTGGCATATTTCCAGTGTTCGGTGCAGTAGTAAGTGTAATGATAATGCCTGTAAATCAGATCGCTAAACGTATTCATCTGATGTAACTATAACTTTGTACCTTTGGACCATTTCCATATTTCCCCACCATCCCAGCTCCTGGCCACCACTGTTCTACTCTGCTTCTCTAACTTTGATTTTACTCTTTTTTAGATTCCACAAAGCATATATAGCTGTGTGTGTGTGTGGGGGGGGTATCTCTAGATAGATAGATAGATAGATAGATAGATAGATAGATAGATAGATAGATAGATAGATAGATAGATAGATGATAGATAGATAGATATAGATTATAGATATAGATATAGATATAGATATAGATATAGATATAGATATAGATATAGATATAGATAGATAACCTAAATGCTAAGTGGCTCTCAACTCTTGTAGACCCAATACCTTACTTTTTATTGCAAATATTTGGTAATATTTTTACCATTCTAAAATGAATTTTAGATAATATAACCCTCCTAAACTATTATATACATAATGTCCTGTTATATAAATAACAAGAGAAAGTTACTTACAATAAAATAATAGGTATCTCAGTGTATATATGCTCAGTCGTTATCAAAGGAGACAAAATGAGGCAGTGTGATGTTGGCGCCTGTATTTACTACCTGCCTGAGTACCACAACTACAGATACTGCTTACAAGCACGTTGAGTTGTATTTTAATGTCATGGGTAGTGTTGCTATTGATAACATGATTTTCCAAAGGAATGCACAACTCTTGGTAAAGTTCTAAGGAAAACAGAGTAAAATCTCTCCTCAATATCAATGGTAGCTGCATTCTGGGAAAATTCAGAAAATTAAAACCATACCAAGAAAATACTAAGTGTTTCTGAAAACTGAATACAACCTAATTGCCCTGATCATTATGAGCGTGCGTTTTACTTCATGGAGGTCTGAAGAACAGAAACAGAGTAAGACCTGCTAATGACTGATTGTGCAGACAGACAGTCGTGTGCAAGGCAAGAGGTCCCGTCTCTGGCCCCGGCCACCAATGCCAGCGGTCTGCTCTTACAGTCGTCATAGCCAAAGAGGGGCCTGGGAGGCCAGTGTCACCCTATTCCTGCACGAGATTCATTTTTACAGCAATTACTGACAAAGAACAGGCTAACCGAAATGTTTAGTTTATTCTGTAAATATTTTTGGATAAGCTATATCATGGAACATTGCATTTTTACATTCTGGGTAACATTTCATATAGGTCCACAGAAATAGGCCCTTCATTATAATATATAATAATACAGAGAAAAGCATACTTGTCTGACCTCGACATATTTAAAATCTGGAAGAGACTATAATACAATCTACAAGATAACAGACATTATGATGTTACATAAGACACAGATATGTAAAAAGAGAAACGATGTAATTCCCATACGATGTTTTTCTGTTTTTTTTCAAAACTTCGTATTTCTTGCAGGTGTTCAGCAGAGTGAGTAGACACTCATATGCTTTGCGACGTGTTCTCCCCAGTCTTTCCAGCACCCTCCGGGCACCATCCACAGTAGTCGCAATATCATGGACCATATTCCCCGTGCAGTGCTTTTCATGCCCGGGATCTGCTGTCACTTCTTTCTCTCTTCAGCTTGTTTCCACCCGGCCCCTCCCCCTGCCAGCCCTCAGTCTGTTCCCTGTCCCTGAGTCTGTTTCTGATTTGTGTATTTTTTTTTCTTTAACTTCCACATATAAATGACATCGTTTTGTAGTTGTCTTCCTCTGTCTGACTTCTTTCACTTCACATAATACCCTCTATTTCCACCCATGTTGTTGCAATAGTAAAATTCATTCCTTTTTATAGCCGATTGATAGTCCACTGTGTATATGTACCACATCTTTTTTTTTTTTTCCTCACCCAAGGGCATTTTTCGATTTTTTTGTTCAGATAGAGTGGGAGGGAGAGAGAGAGAAACATCGACGTGAAAGGGACACATCGAGTGGCTGCCACCCGCACGACCGACCAGGGCCGGGGACAAACTGCAACCGAGGTACGTGCCCTTAGCGGGAACCGAACCCGGGTCTCTCTGGACCGCAGGCTGACGCTCTAACCGCTGAGCCAAACCAGCCAGGGCTGTACCACATCTTCTTTATCCAGTCACTTGGGTTGCTGCCAAATCTGAGCTATTGTAAATAGCTGCGGTGAGCATAGGGGTGCGCATATCTTTTTGAATTAGTGTTTTGGATTTATTTTTATATATTCCCAGAAGTGGATTTGCTGGGGCAGAAGGCAATTCTATTTTTAATTTGTTAAGGAAGCTCCATACTGTTTCCCACAGTGGCTGCACCAATTTGCAATCCCAGCGACAGTGCACAGCGTCTCCTCGTCTCTACATTCCCCCGGTGCTTGTTGTTTGTGGATTTACTGATGACGGCCATTCTGACAGTGAGAGGTAGTATCTCACTGTGGCTTAAATTTGCATTTCTCTGATGATTAGTGATGTTGAAATCTTTTTCTATTTCTGTCCTCTTTGAAAGAATGTCTCTTCATGTCTTCTGCCCTTTTTTTAATTGGTTTGTGTTTTGGGGGGTGTTGACTTGTATGAGTTCTTTATGACTTTTGGAAATTAACCCTTTATCAGATGTATCATTGGTGAATATGTTCTCCCATTCAGTGGGTTGTCTTTTCATTTCGTTGATGGTTTTCTTTGCTGTGCAAAACCTTTTTAGTTTGATGTAGTCCCATTTATTTAGTTTTTCTTTTGTTTCCTTTGTCAGAGGAGATATATCAGAGAAAGAATACTGTCAGAGAATTTATTGCCTATGTTTTCTTCAAGAAGTTTTATTGTTTCAGATTTTACATTTAAGTCTTTAATCCATTTTGAGTTTATTCTTAGAGATGGTGTAAGAAGGTAGTCTAGTTTCACTTTTTTGCATGTACCTGTCCAATTTTCCCAACGCCATTTATTGAATAGACTGTCTTTTCCATTGTATATTCCTGCCTCCTTTGTCATATATTAATTGACCATATAGACATGAGTTTATTTATGGGCCCTCTTCTAATCTGCTCAATGTGTCTGTTTTTTCATAAGTAATTTAAAAAGTTCTTAAATATTCTACTATAATTATTTTCTTACAAAGTTTACGGGTGTTACAAACTTCCTTAAAATTTTTATGGGTCTTAGAAATTTTCTGACAAAGGTTATGGGTCAAAGTGAGGAAAAAAAAAAAAACTAAAAAAAAGGGGGGGGGGGATAATACAAATAAGAAACAAAAAAATATATAACTTACCCAAAAAAAGAAGACACATAAAAGTACATTCAAAACAGGATCCCCTGGCCAGTTTGGTTCAGTGGTTAGAGCATCAGCCCACAGACTGAAGGGTCATGGAATTGATTCCCAGTCAAGGGCATGTACCTGGGTTGCAGGTTCGATCCCCAGACCTGGCGGGGGCACATGTGGGAGGCAACCAATAATGTGCCTCTCTCACACTGATCTCTCCCCTCCCTCCCTCCCTCCTTCCCTCCCTCTCTCCCTCCCTCCCTCCCTCCCTCCCCTCTACTCTGTCTAAAAATCAATGGAAAAAAATATTCTCAGGTGAGGGTTACCAAAAAAAAAAAGGAAAAAATTTGGGAACAAGTCGTATGCAGTATGTTGCTGCTTTTTCTTCCTCAAGATTAATTTCTATGACTCAGTAATTTTAGTGATGAAAGAAACTCACATGGGTATTTCTTATTCATTTGATTAATTTATGGATCCATACAGTATAATAAATTAAGAAAAGCTTTAAATTCTGAACATTTACCTCACTAGAAAAAAAAAGTTACCTTCATTCGTTCATTTTTTTCTGTTCCTGCATGAATTGCGGCAGGTTTTCTGGGCATCAAATATGAAACTGGATCCGTTCAGAAAGATTCAAGATTATGAAACTTTGAGGGAAATAGTAGAAATGTGGACAGTAGGGAAGAAAACCCACACGCCTACGTATTAACTTAGCATCCTAATCTCCTAGGTCAATGATTTTTTTTACATATTTCTCAAAAGTTCTATTTTAAAGGATACTGTTTTTGCCTGGCCAGTGTGGCTCAGTGGATTGAGCGTTGCCCTGTGGACTGAGAGGTCCCGGTTCATTTCCCAGTTGGGGCACATGCCTGGGTTTCAGGCTCAATTCCCAGTAGGGGCCATGCAGGAGGCAGCCAATCGATGTTTCTCTCTCTCCTTTCTTCTCTCTCTAAAAAATCAATATAAATATATATTTTTAAAAAGAATATTGTTTTCATATATTTAAAGATCCATACTTTTATGGGTTGAAGAGAACTCAAAGATTTCAGTACAGCATTCTGTCTCCAAGGAAAATTTAAATTAGCTGTGGACCAAGACTTCAATAAATTCTTCAAAAACAGAAAAGGGAAAAAATGTAATCACTTCCCTTGGGAACACACGTTAACCTCTAGCAGTATATTGGTCAGGAATATTCTCTAAGTTACACTCTCATCATTATTTAGATATATTTAGTAAGTTTTTAGATGACTTTTGAGATATTGTGGGAGTCTAAGTCCTTAAACTTGGCCTTTTAGGGGATAAATCTCAGTAACCTTGTTAGACAGAAGGCCAGGAGTTCACTTCCTCTGGACTTCTAGATAAGTGACTTCCTACCAAAGTTATGATCATCTAGAAAAGTTCCCTACAGGCCTCCCCCCTTATCTGTTTTTATTTTTTTTGGTCAAGGTGTGAGTCGAATGGGCATCTTATCTAGTTAGCAAAGTAGAGTTGGTGCTTTGGAGCTGAATCATAGCCAGAAGGAACTTGACTATGGTTTTACGTGGAAAGAAAAGAACCAGCTACAGTGCTGAGTCCTGTTCAAAACCTAAGAAAAAACCATGTTTCAGACTGAGGAAAACGGAAATAAACTGGTAAAACTCAGAAATCATTAGACCCATGATACTTGGACGGGCCGAGGAGACATTGCACACTGCAGGTGGACTGGACCTCACTAGGCTCTGCATGGGCATCACTTACAGATGGTAGGGACTGAATAAGGACTGGAATGAATGCTGACATTTATTGTCCTTTTGTTTGGCTGCATCAAGGTATGGTTTTAATCGAGTAATAAAATAGCCTTCCTACCTCCTTCTACCCATTTTCACTCCCACTATAAAGGAAGTACATCTGAATACTGTATTTTGTGGCTAACGGCACAGAAGGCAGTTCCACAGGTCAATTATCTTTTGCTTAAACCAATGGCTTCCCCCAAGAACGAAGAGCAGCAAATCAAAGCAGCTAATCGCCGTGACACTCAAGAAGATTTCATTATAAAATACAACTCTGTTGTTACAGCCTGTTGAGTGGGCCACTGTGTGCAGGTAATAGATCCTAAATAACTGGTAGGGAAGGAAGCAAATAACGATGATCCCTATAAAAAATAGGTTTTTCAGCTGGGCCCAGAACTCCTGGTGGGACAGCACGGAGTGGCGCAGCTTCCGCATCATCGACACAATGATGAAGACCTGGAAGACCAAGAGGACCAGCGTGGTGGTGATGACCGCCGTGACGATCAGATAGTTGATGACCTGCACTTCCGGATGCATAAGCTCTTTGTGGAACGTGAAACAGGTCTTATTGTCATATTCCTGGTGAGTCCCATAATGAGAAGCGATCAGGGGCACCATGATGACAATCACCAGCAGCCACAGGCCGGCGCTGGCAGCCACGGCATGCAGCTTCCTGTAGAACTCCACTCTGTCCCTGCACTTGAAGAAGATGAGGTACCTGATGACCAGGATCACCATGTAGAACAGGAAGGTGAGGTACATGTGGATGTGCACCATGGCGCTCACAAACTTACAGAAGGTCAGTCCAAACGGCCAGGTGTGCTGGATGAGGTAGGTCAAGCGGAAAGGCACTGTCAGCAGGAAGACACTGTGGACCACCACCAGGTTAACGACAGCCATGGTGGTCACAGACCGGGTGTTCATGTTCACCAGCAGGAACAAGATGGAGATGATGCCCACCAGCCCTCCGATGAGCACTGTGCTGTAGAGACTGGTTAGGTACGGTGTCAGTACAGGTTCGCAGGGGGAGCTGCTGTGGGCGGCCATACTTCGGAAGTCACCTGGAAGAGACGAAGCACCAGTGTAACTGACAAACTTCCTGACATTTGTCCGGACCTCCCCAGCACTGGCCACGTGACAGTGTCATTTATCAGTTGACATGACATAAGCTTTATGTGCCTTAAGAATGAAGACTATGTCGAATATATGCCTGTATGCTCTAGACTGAAAACACAGTAAGTCACTGATCCTTAATCTTTGAAGGACCTCATGCAGAGGTCCCCAGAGACATGTATTTAAGTCCACAGTCAAGACATTTCTGCATGAAACTGGCTGTGCACTATCTGATGCTAAAACGTGGACACCAGCTCTGTGGCTGCCACTGACAAAATCATAAGATGATGGAAAGTTGAGTGACTCCATTAAGTACACAAAATATCTTTTTCTTTAAAGTATGATTCTTATGCTCTAATTCCTTCCAACTTGTCAGCAAACGATCCAAGAATATTTATACTTAATTCATTTAAAATATCGATTACTCTCCCTGGCTTGTTTGGCTCAGCGGTTAGAGCATCGGCCTGCAGACCAAAGAGTCCTGGGTTCAGTTCCCGCTGAGGCCCCGTACCTCGGTTGCAGTTTGTCCTTGCCCCAGTTGGGGTCGTGTGAGACATCGATGTTTCTCTCTCTCTCTTCCCCTCTCTCTCCCTCCCGCTCTATCTGAATATAATTGCAAAAATGTCCTCGGGTGAGAATAAATAAATAAATAAATAAATAAATAAATAAATAAAATATTGATTAACTTGGCCAAAAAATAATTGCCTAAGTCAAGGCAGCAGAAAGTAATAGAAGATACATTTGACTTTCTCATCACAGTTATAACATCACCCAGCATTAGGGCTTTGACTGAGTTCTCTTCAGGGGCCCACAGCATGTCTCCCAATTTTCCCACGCCCCAACCTCAGACTCACAAGCGAACCACTGTTATTTCTCCTTGGGACCCCTGAAAGACCCTTTCCCTATACAGTCTTGGTCCCTTGTAATTCATTATCCACTTTCTAATTTATTATTTACTAAATAAAATATTTAGTCATCTTTTAATTACAATAGTTAAGTCATTTCACTTTCTTATTTGAATTCCTTCAATGGTTTCCTATTTTTTAAGATAAGAATAAAAATCCTTACATGTTTAGAATGTTCTGGGTTACGGCAAAATCTGATCCCTTGAGACCAGATTCGAGAACAGCTGTAGAGGTGAACTTGACGGAATTTGATGGACGTATATGAAGAAATGAGGGGAAGAGGGTCTCAGTTACTCTCAGATTTCTGACGAGCATTTATGTGATTCGAGTTCTGTTTACTGACACCAGGGAAAATGCAGATCAAATCTTAAGAATAGTAGTTAAATTATGCACTCAATACCCGACCTCTGTAACACATTTACAATTATTCTTATTCATTTCTTGAATGTCTTTTTATACAACCAAAATTACCCAGCGATGAAAATGAACCAACCACGGATCCACACAATACTGACAAATGGCAAAAGTGCCTTCCTAAATCGTGCATTCTCAATATTGCCCTGCAGGGGGCAAAAGTTTGTTGTTGAGGTGTGAAAAATCTTACTTTTTATGTAGAAAACACACATATACATATTCTACGTAAATAGACATACAGCCTATCTGTGGTATGAAGATTTCATAAGAAGGAGACAATTAGGAAGGAAATGTCTAAAAATGAAAGAAATGAATGAAAGAAATATCAATGTAGTCCAGGTAGCAGGGCAAGGTATTGACTTCAAACAGGCATGGGGGACCTTCTGGGGTGGTAGATGTTTTCCATCACGTGATCACATCGTAGTTATTTGTCAAAGCTCATCGAGGTTACTCTTAAAATTGGTCAGTTTCCTTACATATAGCTTAGACCTTGATAAAACTAATTTAAAATGATGATGATGATGATAACCTGACCCCAGATAGCTTCTGCTTTCATGGGCATGGAGCAGAATTTCTATGTGACCCACTTAAAAGACTGCCTACTGTTACACCTGGTCTATGTGATGTGTAATCTCTGTACTTGCCTTTTGTTTTTCCCTGGAGAAAAGTGGTTCCATCAAGTAAACATGAAATTATACTGTGTTCGTATCTGAATCAAAGACAATGTCCCCCCATCGGTTTTGCTCATCATTTCCTTCGGCTATTGACCTAGAGGGACCAACTCTGGAAAGACAGTAAAATCCACCACATATTATCTGTCTCAAGCCCTCCTTCTTTCTTATAAACTGCCATGATCTCTCTCTTTCAAACACAAGAAGCCCACATTACATGACTTCTGTGTGTCCAGTACTGCATGAATGCTTGCCTATACGTAGACTCATTTACCGTCTGTGTGTTGTGTATGCATTACCACATCGAGTTTCAGATGAAGAAACTGAGCCCTAGACAGGTTAAGTAACTTGACCAAGGTCTCCAAAGTCACACACACACACACACACACACACACACACACACAGCTCCTTCTTGTGCATCCTGGAGAAGCACGTCTGTGTCTCTTAAGAAGGACAGAGGCCAGAAGAACTGGCTCTCCTCATGGCCGTGCGCCGATATATCGAGAGCAGCTCTTCTTCGCTTGGCTACCGCAGACCCTGTGTAGTAGTAGCTCATTTGACGTCTTTTCTAACCCTTTCTGCACAGAACTTTTACGTGCATGTGACCTAGTTTTTGCTAGTCTGTGGCACTCATGTGAGGCAGAGGAGGGATGTCGACGGGTGGAGAGGTTAGACCACTTGGCGAGGCAGCACGGAAATGTTCGCTTCTCTGGGGCACTAGGACCCAGCACTGGTGCTCATGGTTTCAGGAGCTGTACTGAGAGTCCACGAGGCCGGTTATCAACCTCATGGCGTTCGACATTTTCCCCTGATTACATGGATCATGGCTTTGTAGCAACAAACCTGGTTCCCAGACATTTCAAGATATCCCATAAGCTATTTACCTTTTAATAAACACTGTCTACTTAAGTCAGCCAAAGTAGGTTCTGTTGCCTGCAGCTACCAGAATTACCTGGTTAATTCCTATTTCTCCTTCAAGAATCAACAGGCATCCTTTTTCTCCAGGAGGCCTTTTCTCACCTGCACTCTCGGTTCGGACTGTGTGCTCGTCCTGCTTGGCCTCACGGGACACACCGTGCGCGCCTCTGCTCCGGCATGGATCACACAGACCGCAGCTCCCAGTTACACTCTGCCTTCCAAACAAGACTGACCAGGGACAAATTATGTTTCCTCTGTCTCACAGAACCTAATGCAGTTGTAAAAATCGATGCAAACGTCGTTCTCTCTTAGATCTTATCTCCCACAACTCTCCCTTTTATTGGTATATTCCAACTAAACATACCTCTTTGCTTTTCCTCAAACAGCCCTCGCATGTTCCCACCGCAGGGCCTTTGCACAGGATGTTTCCTCTTTAGGAGTACTCTCTCTTCCCCCAGATACCCACCCAGCTTGCTCCTTCGCCTTCTTCACATCGCTGGCCAAAGGTCATTCCCGCCCTTCCTTCCCCAGCCTCCGTAGCTACAGCATCCGCACGGGGCCTCTTCTACCAGCAACCGCACCCTGGCCTGCTCCGCTCCCCCCACTGCATCTGCCACCGGCACACTGTGTGCTTTCTTGCCCCTTTCGCTGGAATTCAAGCTCCCTGGGGACAAGGGATTCTGTTTTGTTCACCTCTTTACCTCCAGCACCTGGAACAGTGCTTTGCACAGAACAGCTTCTTAATAAATAACAGCTGAATCAATGAAACCACACATCTTAAAAGGCCCTAGAGAGGCCATGGCCAGTTTGGCTCAGCGGTTGGAGCATCCGCCTGTGGTCCAGAGAGACACAGGTTCGGTTCCCACTAAGGGCATGTACCTCGGTTGCAGTTTGTCCCCGGCCCTGGTTGGGTCGTGCGGGTGGCGACCACTTGATGTGTCCCTTTCACATCGATGTTTCTCTCTCTCTCTCCCTCCCACTCTATCTGAACAGAAAATGGGGAAAAAATAAAAGTCCCCAGAGAGAAAAAAACAAAACAAAACAAAAAAGATCATCTATAAAAAAAATTAGAAATAATTTGGCATCAGACTTTTGACATGTTGAATACTAGGGGAGGGGGTGGGGGGCTTAATGGTCTTGAAAGGTGATTTTGAATTTAGAATTCTGCTTTCAGCCAAACTAGCATTCAAGGGGGAGAGAAGAGGAAAGTCATTTTCTGATACGTCAACACTCTAGAAAGTTCACCTCTCTCAAATCCTCCCTGAATTACTGGTTTCTGTTCCAGCAAAATGAAACTGGGTGTGTGGGATACCAAAAACACAGTGAACCAAAATACCAGTGAAGGGCACCTCTAAAATGCCCACATAAACGACAGTCCCCAATGGGCTCAACAAAAACAAAAGGGAGAATTTGTATGTTAAGATTTTTGTCTTAATGGGGAGATAGCATTTAACTGTAGAGAAACCAAACAAATATGATTCTGAACTCTTGATGAACATTCAAGAATGGTCACTTGGTGAACAGAAGTCAGTCTGGCTTACACATGACAAGAAGGAAGATCGAACACAGTAAACTCAGCAAATCCAAGCAAAGGCAGGAAGAAAAATAAACAGGAAACAAACAAGAAAACATGGTAAATGGCCAAATTTCAAAAGAAAACAATAAGTCCAGACATATCTGAAATCATAATCGATATAAACTATATATTTTGTTCACGTACAGAAACGAGAAATTTTACACACCTCTGCGAGTATACCAAAAACCACTGAATTGTACGCTGTAAAACAGTGCATATGGATCGCATCTCAAGAAGGCCATCATGTAGAGAGAGGGACAGAAAAGCACGGTCTGAACTGACCTCCGGGAGGAGGACGAAGAGCGGGACCCTTAGCGACAGGAGTGAAGAGCTGAGACGGAGAATCAGGGGAGCCGAGCAGGGAAGCACAGCTCCCAGACCCTGGTCAGCGGCTCGGTGGCCAGGGTGCCGGGAACTGGGGGCTTCGGGTGACCTGGCCAGACTCAGGGCAAAAGTCCTGGTCC